TTATTATTATTATGAGTAACTATAAATGTGTGCCAAGTCCATTAGTGTCAACCCTGTGATGCTGTTTTTGGGGAAGTCCAGGTGAAGGAGGGGCTGGGAAACCCCAGAGAGGTCAGAGAGGTCAGGGCTGGCCCAGGGAGAAAGGGACGAGGGCCTCCTCGGCCTCATAAATGACCTTTCATGGGCAGCCTCCGGACACAGGCGCCTCACACACATTCCACTTCGGTTCTGGGTCTGGTTGCATCATGGATCCTCGGCTGCGCTTCCCCTCAAGGCAAGTCCCACTGAAACAGTGGGAGAGGATGGTGGTTGTTGTGCCTGGTCCTTCTTGGAAGGGGAGGGAGGCTGCCTTGCTTGATCTTCCTCTGAGGCTGAGAGGGTGTGACTCGCCCCAGTCTCCCACCGGGTTTCATGCCGGTCCCTTTGAGCCAGAAATTGCGCAAGATCCTCCGGCTTTGAAGCAGTTTACCATGACGACAAGCCTTTCAAGCAATATAATAAATACTTGGCACAATACTTGGTTGGCACCGTTAAAAGCAGCGGCTTAAAAGAGAAGTTGGCACCAAGTCCGAGAGGAGCCTGGAGCGAGGCCAAGGCGGTCAGCGGGCTGCCCTCGATGGATCCTCAAGAGATGGTGCAGATCCTGCCTCCGCCTCCACCGCTCCTCTGGTTCTGGATCTGGTGCCTCAGGCCTTGGATCTCGCCCTGCATTCGGGAGACCTCCCTGTGGAAGCCCTCCTCTTGGAGGCGGCGCTGCTCCTGCGAGGCGGGCGGGAAAGGAAGTGTCAGGGAAGGGGCGGGAGGGGGACGGCCCTGGGGGTGCTATCCTCCCCCCCCCACATCCATCAGAGACCCCCATTCCACGCCTTTCAGACGCCAGGAACCCAGGGACAGAAATTGTGTGACGTAATAAATCTACGGTGAGTTGGCATGCGGGAAGCGGAGCCCCCTCCCCTCCACCCCTTCCACAGCAACTCCCCTGTGCTTTGGGGGTCCGGCCATGGTCTCTGTCCCTTGGACGGTGGTCTTTCAGCCTCTTGGATGGGGCAGGGAGCCTTTGGGGGGTCTACCTGGAGCCTTTGGGGGGTCTAC